TTTTTTTTACCAATTATCCAAATAATGTTTAGTCCTAGAAAGCTATTATTATCAGAACACGTGAGCATAGCATAGCGGTTTGCAGATCAATGAATGAGAGGGCAGTGTTACCAGAGTTGCTCCTATACCACACCATGTTACAGCACAGTAGGGCTACTGCAGACAGAAACAATACTGTACTACATCGATGTTTCCTGTCGGCTCAGTGTTTGAGTGGACTCTGCTGTTCCGATGAGAATGAACAGTATACGAGTGGAGCTGAGCGGAGCGCACACATAGAGCAGGATAATACACAGAGCGTCACACCACGTGAAAGTAAATCCTGAGCGGTGAACTCATTTTCGGCAGCCGAAATTTCGGTGCATCTCTAACTATTGGCGACATCAGAAATGGATATTATATAATAGATGTTTTTTTTTACATTTTAGCAATTTAAAAATATTAAAAAATGATTTTTTACGCGGCACCCTGCTCTCGACAGACGGCACCCCGGTTGGGAAACACTGGTCTAAACGATTAATTTCCCACACAAAAAATCAACAATTTTACTTCAGAATATTTTATTAAACTATATTGATTAAATCAAATGAAATCCAAAAGTAAAAAAGCAAGAAGCAGGTGTCCATCTCAGTATTATAGAGTAAGAATGACAACATGTCCACGTGTTCTAGGCTACTAATAATAACATTATAATCAAAAACAGAGTATTTACCAGAATTTATTTAGGAGCAAAATGTAAATGTGCAGTATTTCTGAAAAAAAAAAAAAAAAACTTAAAATGAATTAATTGGAGATGCTTTTGATTATTAAAATGTAATGGAACCATTAAAATGGAATCCAGAAAATAATGGAAAGCAGAATTTTGGTAAAGATAAAATTATACAACTCAATTAATTAGACAGGCTTTTTGATGAATACATTTAATTTAACCATTGAAACAGAGTATAGAAAAATAAAAATTACTTAAAATACATATATAATAGCAATGAGGCAATAATAATTAGTTCAAATAAAGTATCAAAAGCAAGAAATCATATGGTTTTATTGAACAAAACTGTTAAAATACATAATGTATTATAAACAATAGAGCTAATGTACATTAGCTTGTTTAATATTTACCAAGCACCATTTAATTCAAATGTCCACTTAATCTTTAATATTTGGCCATTTATTTAAGATATAAATGCTATAACCACTGTAATTAAAAGAATATGTGGACATCAAAATGTGTAAACTCAGAGTGAGGGTTTTTATTTTGAAACCGCGATGTATTCGCCTGAGTTTGCGTGGATTTATAAATTATTTATCTTACAAATCTGATGAAATGGCGCACGTTGCGTTCCCAGATGAACGTTATAATAAACCCAAACTCACAACAACATGCAGAGATGCAGTTTGAGACGCTCCATACTGTACTTAACCTACACGCATGTACATAATTAAAGCGCATATACTGTATTAGAACTGCATCGCATAGAATTATTTAATTAAATCGTAGCGTTTGTGAATTCACAATTATGCTTAATTATGATTTTTAAGTGAGTTTAATATATCATGCAGCCTTGGAAAACAGTCTAATAATGTGTTTTATGGATTCTTGTCCGTGAAATGCGCCACTTCCGGTATTTTGCCGGTTAGTCGACGCCAGCAAAATGAAGTCGAGGATTTTTAAAAATCGAATAGTCTAATAAAATCGAGGAATCGCGACAGCCCTACTGGTTTGTAATGGTATTTGTAGTGGAAACCAGAAGGATTTCTGTGATGTTGTCTGGTGTTTTTTCAGCAGGGTGGCACAATCTGCCGTCTCATTGCATGTGTTTAATGACTCCTGTTGCTCAATAAAGCTTCACTTCCTTCAGGTGATGCTCGGAGCTCATCATCATGTGTCTTACTGTAATGCAGTGCTGTCAGGATTGTGTAATTCATGAAAAACTCATCAGAGAGTTTACAGGAACCCGCTGAAGACGAGTCCGGCTTTGTTTTCCGGGCCATCAGGTCCTCTTGGGATCTAAGTTATGGAGATTTTTCCCTGTCACACTGTAGTGTTTGGAGCACAAGAGACACAAATATATATTCCATGTCGTCTGTAGACAGGACTTATTGAAGAAATGAAGCTGGTGAGGCTTGCATTCATTCCTCCTCCAGTGAAGAAGTGTTCTGGTGTGAATCAGGAGAGAAATCTGCACAGATCAAGCAGCGTTTAAACAGCTCTAAACACATATGTGTCAGGGTTTTGATGTGAGAGACAACAGCAGATGAGCTTTATCACTGGAGGAAGAGTTATTATGGATTATGGACTCGTATTTTAGCAGGAAGCAGTGGTTTGAAGCTTCTTCCAAACACGCAGCTTTTGGTTTCACTAGACGTTACTGATGGACTGCAGTCGTGTGAATTGCTTGTGGATTATTGTGATGTTTTTATTATTGCAAACTCATTGAACCTTTCCTGAGGTGTTCATTTACATGATTGTTGTAAAATAATAATACACCTTCTCTTCCTGCTCTTGTAAAACTGAATTATAATGTCAGATTTTATTAGAGCAAGCTGTTCCTAGACTGAAGGGCGTTTGAACGTGAGCGTGTTTGTTCAGTCTGAAGTCACTGGCTGTGTGTGTGTGTGTGTGTGTGTGTGTGTGTGTGTGTGTGTGTGTGAGAGAGAGAGCCTCCAGCTCCTACT